CTCTGAGAGCAGACTTGTCTGGTTCCAGTTTATCCCCGGCACTGCGGGCAGTACTTGGACACAGTGCGTGTCCTCTAAATGTTTGTGGAAGGAGTAGATGAACCCGGGGTGGGGGTAGGGGTGGGGAGGTGATGTGATTTTGCACTCAGCCTCTGATCTGGGGATTTTACGTAGTCAAGGCGAATCTGTTGGACAGCCAGTGTTTGCCGAGTCTTTGTGCGTGCGTGCTCACCTGGACGCTGGGGACTGAGAAGATGACTAATAGTGCTCTGGCTTGGAGGCGCCTACCATGTAGGGGGACACTCAGATGACAGTGAGTCACTTCACTGCATCAGCACAGTGCGCCGCCTGTGAAAAAAAAAAAAACGAAGACGAGCTCGCTCATGTCCTGGCAAGCCGGCTGGCACCCAGGAAGCCCCGTTCACAGCCGAAGACCTGCCTTCCACGAGGTCCTGAGAAGTGCCCGGCGCATCTGTGGCCAAGAAGTAGAACCCCACATTAGGAAGGCCCAGCAGGTGTCCTACATCTGGGGAGGGCCGCTCAGAGAAGTCCTGCCTCTTAGAGGTCACGGCACGTTGCGGTCAGATTTAACCAAGCAGACACTCCTTACTTGCTTGCTTAAAAGAGAGCATCTTGTCTTTTGTAAGTGGACTCAGGGCTTTAAGTCAACTATATTTAGAGCATCTCCCTGGTTGCCTTAGTTCCCTTCACCTACTCTTGTCTCAAACCTAATTGTGCATCTCTTCCTCCCAGATCTGCTGCCTCTCTTGTGTCTCATCCTTCTTGACTGGCAGCTCCGCACTGAAGCGGAAGTGCCTGTGTCTGTGTCCCTCAGTTTTCCTCCTCCAGTCCCATTCGGACCCGGCTCTGGGTGCGTCTCCTGGCCACTTGCCAGGCCGCAGTCTTCCCCTCAACGGCCACCCTTTTAGCAGGAGTTGGCTTCCTGCCTGCCCTTCTTGGTTCTGGGCTCCTTGCCTCTCCTTCTCCTCCCAGTCGTAGAGGGCATCCGGAATGCACATCTGAGCCTGTTGCTCCTCTGACAATGGCCTTTGGCTGGTCCCGCATCGCACGCCGAACCGCCTCTTGAGCCCAGCTGTCAGTCTCAGTTCCACCAGACAACTGGCAGTTCCCTGTAGAGATCATGATTTAAAGGGAAAACATTTATTTTATTATTTATTTGAAAGGCAGAGTTACAGAGAAAGGGAGAAAGAGTGAGAGAGAGAGGTCGACTTTCCATCCATTGGTTCACTCCCAGATGGCTGGACTAGGTCAAAGCCAGGAGCCTGGAACTCCATCCAGGTCTCCCATGTAGGTGGAGGGGCCCAAGCACTTGGGCCATCTTTCACTGCTTTCCCAGGTGCATTAACAGGAAGCTGGGTCAGAAGTGGAGCAGCCGGGACTCGAACCAGTGCCCTCATGGGATGCCGGCATTGCAAGCCCAGCTTAACCCACTGTACCACAACACTGGCCCTGACATCATGATTTTTATATAGACTCATTTCCTTCTCTCCTTCTTCTAACCTCATTTTTTTTAATTCTTAAAAAACATTTAATTTTTCCAAATTATTGATTTAATTTATTTGAAAGACAGAGTTTTTTTGTTTGTTTGTTTTTGTTTTTGTTTTGGACAGGCAGAGTTAGACAGTGAGATAGAGACAGAGAGAAAGGTCTTCCTTCCGTTGGTTCACCCCCCAAATGGCTGCCACGGCGCTGCGCCGATCCGAAGCCAGGAGCCAGGCACTTCCTCCTGGTCTCCCATGTGGGTGCAGGGCCCAAGCACTTGGGCCATCCTCCACTGCCTTCCCAGGCCACAACAGAGAGCTGGACTGGAAGAGGAGCGACCGGGACAGAATCCAGCGCCCCAACTGGGACTAGAACCCCGGGGTGCAGGCGCTGCAGACGGAAGATTAGCCATGTGAGCCGTGGCACTGGCCAGACAGAGCTCTCTTATCCATTGATCTGTCACCCAAATCCCTGCAACAGCTGGGGCTGGGCTGCTAAAGCTGGGAACTTAATCCAGGCCTCCCTTGTGGGAGGCAGGGACCCAACTACCTGAACCATCACTTGCTGCCTCCCAGGGCGCACATTAGTCGGAAACTGGAACCAGGAGTGGAACTAGGACTTGAACCCAGGCACTCCAACATGGGGTACCAGCATCCCAAATGGTGTCTCAGCCTTCTGTGCCACATCCCCGCCCCTCACTTGTTTTCATTTCTGACCTAGATCCATGCCTGTTTTCCCTGTAGGAATCCTGCTTACACCATTATGTAGCCTTCAGTCAAAGTTAAAAATCTAAGCAGAGCATTCTGAAAAGGTGTGAGAATTTTTTCTCTTCACTTCTTGCAAGTTCCTGGGGGGGCAAACACATTGTCTTTTTGCATCCAACAAATGTTATTTTACATCTTAAAAACAAAGAAGTGTAGGGCAGCCTTTTGGCTCGGAGCTTAAGTCACCACTTGGGATGCCTGCATTCCGCTCAGAGTGTCTGGATTTGAGTTCTGCTTCTGACTCCAGCTTCCCTGGGAGGCAGCAGTTACGGCTCCGGGACTCCAGTCTCTGCCGCCCGTGTGGGAGGCCCTGACTGAGTTCCTGGCTCCCAGCTTCCTGCTGGCCCAGACCTGGCTGTTGCAGGCAAATATTTGGGGAGTAAACCAATAGATGGAAGATCTCTGTTTTTCAAATAAAAGTAAAATGAAAGCGGAAAATGAAGTAGAAGAGAACACAGGAAAACTGCATTAATACAATACTACGTTGAAGGATTTAAACTCCCGAGTTTGAGTTCCCGCAGCCTCTCCCCAGCGGCTTTCCTTTCTGTGTGCTGCACATCGCATCTGCACACAGCCCAGCCTTGGCCATGAGTTATGGCGGGGTGGGAGTCGTTACCTTGATCTTCTTGGCCTCTGGGTGTTTAACTTCTCCAAGTTAATGCCTCCTCCTTAGTGTTACATTATCTTGTAGTGAAGTAGTCATTTATAATTTATATACTGTGTGCTGGCTTAAAATAGAGACAAGAGGATAATCAGCATCCCGAAGCTTCTAGTTTTCCAAAATAACATTTCCTCAGTGAAGTCTGCCTGTAGGAATTGAAACCTGCCGTGAATTGAAAAGCCCTTTGTCCTGTTGTCAGACAGGGAAATGGATGTGCCTGTTATTCAGCTGAGCACTGGAGAGAAGGGGATCATGTTTTGGGGGAAAAAAAAAACACAACTCATCATTTTATTTTATTCCACTCAAAAGAATCTCTACAACCTCCATCTTTGTAGTGTTCCAGGAACCCCGTTATAGTAGAGGGGGTGGCATGGAGCTGGAGGGCAGTTAGGAGGAAGGGCCACGGGAAGAACAGAAGCTGATACACACACCCTCAACCACTTGTCTGCTGTGGTCTTGGTGACCTTCCATCTGGGCTGACTGCAGACACAGAAGGGATGGGCTTGCCTGTTGCTTGCCACCCTGTTCATTGACCATAAATTAAAAATACAAGGACCACTTGAAAACATCCCTGTAGAATTAGGTTTTTGCAGAAATGCCAATCAGATACCGGAAGTCTAACTTACTTTCCGCCTGTCACCCGGAGGGCAAGTCTTCTGGTCCTTGTCATTGTGGGTCTTTAGTGAGCCAGGACTCTGGGTGGAGATTTCTAACAGGGCAGGAGAAAGGACCGATGCTTCTGCAGTGGAGTGGTCTCGTTCTTCCCATCTGTGACCTTGTACTTGAATTCCCAGATTACTCTTACCATCTCTGAGATGTGTCTCATGTGTTCACAACTGCAGCCAAGGATGTTTGGCTGTTTTTGGGTGGGGGTGGCTGGGGTGGGGAGAGAGGGGGAGTAGCCACCAGAGGGTAGCCGGGGAGCGTGCTGGGTGATTTAATGGGAAGGCCACTAGGTGGCAACATTCACCAAGCTTCTCTAACCCTGTAAAGATACTGCCCTTGCTTCGGGTCCTTTTTTTTTTTTTTTTTTTTTTTTTTTTTTTTTTTTTTTTTTTTTTTTTGACAGGCAGAGTGGACAGTGAGAGAGAGAGAGACAGAGAGAAAGGTCTTCCTTTGCCGTTGGTTCACCCTCCAATGGCCGCCGCTGCAGCCAGCGCACCGCGCTGATCCGATGGCAGGAGCCAGGATCCAGGTGCTTTTCCTGGTCTCCCATGGGGTGCAGGGCCCAAGCACCTGGGCCATCCTCCACTGCACTCCCGGGCCACAGCAGAGAGCTGGCCTGGAAGAGGGCAACCAGGACAGAATCTGGTGCCCCGACCGGGACTAGAACTCGGTGTGCCGGCGCCGCAAGGTGGAGGATTAGCCTATTGAGCCACGGCGCCGGCCTGCTTCGGGTCCTTTTGACAGCGAGGCTGTAGCATAAACACACGGCAGTATATTGCTGTCTGTTCATCACCTGGCTTAGACACTGAGAGCCTGAAATCGCACCGTGTGACTGTGGGAGAACTGCTTTCCCACAGCAGAGGCCTGAGATTGGGCTGTCTGGTCTCTGGGTTCATTGTCTCCAAGATTTAAGACTTTGATTGCAACTTTCTCCTGTATATTTTAAAAACTTTTAGTAAAAAACTTTAAACAAAAAGTTGACTTTTATCAAGGATCTGAGTCATGATTTAAAAAAAAAAATCAGCACACTCTCAAGGGACTAACTGTCCCCAGGGGACAGCCATCTACTGGGTTAACTCAGGAGCCTGCACTGTCCTAAAGGAGGATGCGTATTTACCACCCCTCCTAAATTAGCAGCTCTGGCGATATTAAGATCTGTAAGGAACTGTCCACGGGAGGAGGTGTTGTGTATGCTCTGCAGTGATTAGCCATTAAGCTCTAATTGGTATTTTCCCACTCATGGCTTTGTGTAGGAAGCTTTGACATTATTTAGGAACTCAGTGCTCCTCGGCCATCTTTGTGTCACCCCCACGTTTCAGTCTGCCACTGCGGAGAGGAAGTTCATCCGCGAGCAGGTCGCGAGTTTTGCTCACGTGGTCCTTTCCTGTCGCTTGGTTACGTTGCAGATGAAGTGGAAAGGGAAGGACCTGTTTGACTTGGTGTGCCGGACTCTGGGGCTTCGGGAAACCTGGTTCTTCGGACTGCAGTACACGATCAAGGACACCGTGGCCTGGCTCAAAATGGACAAGAAGGTTGGGCTGAAACGTGTTGAATCCCGAGGGCTGGCCTGCCCGTCTGCTTTTCCCAGGGTTCCTAGCTTACTTGCCTGTTGCGAGGGCATTGCAGCTACCTGCTAGCACAAGGGCCGGGGTCCTGAGTGAAGTCAGCAGGAAGCAGGAGAGGCTGCTTGCTTTCTGTTCGTCCACGCAAGCAGAATCACCTGGATTAAGCTGTCGCCAGCTTTGGCTTCTTCACCCGTTGTCACCAGCCCTATTGCCGTTGGCGTTCTGCCTTCTAGTTTATTGAACCATTAATCAGGCCTTGTGAATTAAAATTACTATTATCTTCTTACACTTTTTTTTTTAACAATTCATGTCTTTGGAAGATTCTCCTGGGGCTCATGTTCTTCAGGGAATTTTTAGAAGTCTTTATGAGGAACACCGTGGCCCAACCTGAATGGATCATTAATGTGATCTAAGGAATGGGAGTGCCTGGTGCCTGTGGCGAAGGCAGAATGTTCATTTTGTCCTCAGGATTCTCCGGGGCTCCGAGGTGGAGAAGTCTGGGCTCCTGGCGATTTTACTGTGGCTTGGAAATGGACGTTGCTAAACCCCTACGTGGGTTCCTCCATTCCCACAAAGACACGCTTGCCTGCTTACGTGCCTGCCTAACCATGATGACAGCTGGGGAGCGGGGTAGGGACGGTGGGGATGCTTTTGTCAGTCTCTCCTAAAAGACACCTGAATCTCGAAGTCAGAACGTGTCAGATTCTTATCCCATGTGGTGCCCGCAGCAGATGCCCACGTGCAGTTATTTTCCACTGCATAGCATGAGCAACCGTGAAGATCTGCTGTTTTACCAGCTTGGCTCCAAACTTAAGTGTTCAAATTGTGTCCACATACAGGGGCACATCAAAAACTTCATGGAGAAATGGAATCAAAAGAGAGGTTTATTTTGGCACAAAAATTTTTAAAGATCCATGCATATGAGAAGTCTTTGAAAAGCTCCTGGTGGGGAGTGGGTGTTCTGTGTTGCCTGTGTCCCATTTGGAGTATGATGCCTGTCTCCGGCTCCTGATTCCAGCTTCCTACTGATGCAGACCCTGCGAGGCAGTGGTGATGGCTCAATAACTGGGTCTCTGCCACCCACATGGGAAACCTGGGTTAATTTCCTTGTTCCTGGGTTCAACCCCGGCCAGGGTCCACTGCAGGCATTTGGGGGAGTGAACCAGCAGATAAGAGCTCACTGTCTCTTTCTGCCTACTGAATAAATAATTTTAAAAAATTGTTCAGGGGAAATACATACTATGAAAAAACTATGCATGGTTTTCAATTTCTTTTTACACCAAAATAAGCTCATCTTTTAATCGTCGCCCTTTTCAATGAACTTTTTGAAGTACTCTCATAAGTACATAGTAATCTGTCAAATGGTAATTCCTAAGTGGTACAAAAGTACCACTGAGTGCTGGTGTCAGCGAGGGTGGCCTAGACCGGATGCCTTTTGAATTTCCTGGGCACTGCCACCTAGAATTGGCCAGGAGCATGGAGAATTATGTTTCAGGAAATCAAAGACAGCAAATTTCTGTTTCTTCTTCTTCTTTTTTTCTTTTGGAAAAAAGATTTATTGATTTGAAAGGCAGAGTTGGAGAGGGAGAGACAGATAGAGATCTTTCATCTGCTGGTTCAGTCCACAGATGGCTATGCTGGTGTGAAGCCAGGAGCCAGGGGCTTCTTCCAGGTCTACCACGTGGGTACAGGGACCCAAATACCTGGGCCATCCTTTGCTACTTTTCCAGGCCCATTGTTAGGGAGCTGGATCAAAAGTGGAGCAGCGCCCATATGGAATGCGGGCATTGCAGGTGGCAATCTTACCCACTGTGCCACAGCACTGGCTCCCCAGTTTCTGTATCCTTTTACGATTCTCAGCAAAGTGAATTTTAAATCGTACCTGAATGTTGGCCAAATGGATATTAGACTGGGGGCATCAGGAGCCATGGAACTTGGTGCTCAAAGGAAATAAATTATGACACATGTTAATGGAGCCTGGTGGCCTGTCCCATGGCATGTTTATGTCCTGAAATGAGACTGGCTCTGGAGAGCAGGTGGTCCAGGCTTTTCTCAGCATGGATGGAATTGTTCAAAGATGAAAGGCAATGGTTTAGTGACTGTGCTCCTGGCGTTTGGGAGGACATTTCTGCAGGTTCCTGAGACAAAGGGCTGCCACAGTGGACACGTTTCATTCTGCAGCTCAGTTCATCTTTAGCTGACTCAGAAAGATCTAGTTCATCGTTTCAACGTTCCAGTCCAACGTAGATCTAAATGCTAGCGGTAGGCAGCAAGCAGAAACAGGAGATTCCGCTGCTTCGTAGAATTATAAAGCCGTTAGCCTACCATGAAGGGTAATGGCCACGACCTCTGAGCTACACATTTCCAGTTTTGAACTTTCTGTGGCCTTGAGAACTTTTGTGTCTTAGTCTTATATCCACTCAGCCCATGGGGATATTGGTTAATTTGGTTCAGATCTACAGTGTGAAGTGAATATTATCTCTTACGATAAAAGGCTTTGAGAATGCTTCCAACTGTAGAATCACCACCTTTGAAAAGTGTGATGAATTTAGCAGGAAAAAAACGTTTTAGATGCTGCCTGCCCAAGGTGCTTTGATAGCATGGGAGGAAGGGGTTCCAACCGCTCTGTCTTTTGGTCTGCAATCCCGCAGGTGCTGGATCACGACGTTTCCAAGGAAGAACCAGTCACCTTTCACTTCCTGGCCAAATTTTATCCCGAGAATGCTGAGGAGGAGCTGGTCCAGGAGATCACACAACATTTATTCTTCCTGCAGGTACACCAGTCCGTGCTGCCTCCCCTCCCCCTCTCCCGGTTGTGAGGGAAGTCACCAGGTGAGGTGGCAGATTGGCTTGGGCAAAGCCCTGGGTGCTGACCACAGATGCTTTCCCGTTGCAGAAATGATCTGCCTGTGAATAGTCAGCCCCTTTGTTTCTGTAGTGGAAAAAAATCTTCAGCGTAGAAATGTGCTTGAACGATGAGAATTGGTGTCAGATGAAATTGCAGAGGTGTGAGGGTGAGGAGTGGATACGGGTAGCTACCTAACTTCTTTGAAGATAGATCCTGTTTTCTTCTAACTCACAAATACCCAGTAGTTGCACAGGAAGTCTAAAGAGAGAGTCCAGAGGTTCCGAATCTGCTCTCATTAAGAAGGGACTTCAGAACTCGGGGCCGCTCCGTGAACCCTCGCCTGTGGTACTGCACACATCCCGCTTCACGCCACCTTTGGTCTAGAACTGTCTTATTTCTCCCTCACTCCCTCCTTAGGTCGTGAGCCCTTAAAGGCGAGGGTCATTGAGTGCTCAGTAAGGACTTAATCAAACTGAAGAAATCATGAGATCTGTAACTCTAGGCTGACCACCAGGGCCGCAGGGTCGGGGCGATTAGTCTGAGGATGGAAATCTTTGCTGTGTTCCCCTGCTTGGACAGAGCACCTTCCCCATCCCCAATTTCATGCCTGGTTGCAGTGATTGGCATTGGGGCTGTCTGTGTGCCCCCAAGGTGCCCACTGTGGGTGATGTAGAAGACTGCAGCAGAGGCGTTAATTACATGATTTCCCAATAGCCTATGTGTGGTTGTCACAAAGCCCTCCTGTAATTAATTTGAGCCTTGGCATGTCATGTTCAGCAAATGTTAAATTAAATGTAATAAAACCCCTTAAATAACTTCTTTTGGGGGTCTATTTGTACTTTGTTAATTTTTATTTAGTCTAATTTATTTGAAAGGTAGAGAGAGGGAGAGAAACAAGACAGATCTTCTATCTGCTGGTTCTCCCCTCCAAATGCTTGCAACAGCCACGGCTGGGCCAGGCTGAAACCAAAAGCCTGGAACTCAATCCAGGTCTCCCTTGTGGGTAGCAGGGGCCCAGCTACTTGAGCCATCACCTGCTGCCTCCCAGGCAGCACATTTGCATCAACAGGGTGCTGGAATCAGAAGCAGGGCTGGGATCTGAATCCAGGCACTGCGATATAGGATGCAGGCAGCCCAGGTGGCATCTTAACCGCTGCACCAAATGCCTATCCCTAAAAAAACGTATTTGACCAGAGAGCTACCATAAATATGAAATAAAGGCTGTTTATTTACTTAGGTTCATATATGTGGAGCACTTCTCTCTAGCATGTTCAGATCAAAGGGAAGCTCTTTCTGTTGCTCTGTACCGTGGCTTTCCTTTGATTCCTTCTAGTAGAAAGCAAGAGATTAGGAAGTTGTACTGCTCTAGAGACAACCCTGGTTTCATCGTCTCCATAAGAACATGAAACCAGTTGTAAAACCTGGGAAGGATTTTTGGGTGTCACTGAACCCACACAAAGATCTCTTAGGCCTCAGATTGTCCTTGTGTTACAGAATTGGCTTTCTTACAGTGCTGGCATTGTAGCACAGCAGGCTAAGCCGTCACCCGAGATTCTGCCATACCGTGGGCACCAGTCCCAGCTGCTCCACTTTCTATCCAGTTCCCGGCTAATGTGCCTGGGAGAGCAGCAGCAGCTGGTCCGAGTCCTTGGGCCCTTGCACCCAAGTGGGAGACCCAGATGGAGTTCCGGGCTCACCGGCTTCAGCCTGGCCCAGCCCTGGCCATGGCAGCCATTTGGTAAGTGAACCAGAGGATGGAAGATTTATTTCTCCCTCTCTCTCTGTAACTCTGCCTTTCAAATAAGTAAATAAATCTTTTAGAAAATTAAAAAAAAAAAAAAAAAAAAAGCTCTCTTGTAAGCACTTCGAAGCAGTGCCTGTCCCTTATGTGACTTTGGCTGAATTTCACTTCATGCTGATGGTTGGCTGTGTTTGCCACTGAGCAAGGAAGAATTTACTGCATTTATGAGTCTCGGGACTGTTGACATCTGTGGAAGGAGCTGGCTTTCTGTGGCGTTTATTACAGTGGCCTCCACTTCATGCACCTCTCACTTCCATGTCTGGACCGCTACGTGCTGCACCATTCGCAGAAATGAAGTGCAATGAGATATGTTAATTCAACATTATGGCTTAGGAATTATATTTCCTGGACCTCACATGTACTTAAAAGTTGAATCGATCAAATTTTATTGCTTCCTTTTTCCTTAGAGCAGCACATTGAAAGTGATGGCTTTTTTTTTTTTTTTTCTGTCTGCAGTCATAACTCAGTGGCCTTGGTGGCTTTTGTCTTGGGTTAAGACCCAAAAGTCGACTCTATTTCCTCTAGTGCTGTGTGTGCAGCAGGGCCTGGGACTGCAGTCAGCCCCAGAGCTATGCCTGATGCTTCTCACCTTCACAGTTCTCTGTGACAGCCCACATGTCAGTCTCTTGTAACCATGACGATTTTTTGTTATTATTCAACATTGATCATGAAGAGATAAAGGGGGTTTTATGCAGAGCCGTCTTACCAAGAACTCATCAGAGACTGAACTCTCAACCTGTCTGCATCAGTTAAAAAAAAAAAATGTACCCTTTGTCAGAAAGTCATTAACAGGTGCTTTGGCGGCCCTCATGAGAACACACTGTGGCCATCTGCCGTGCCCAGCCTGCACAGCACCCATCGCGCACACGGTGTCACCTCTTCCTTGTTGTCCCTTTCAGGTAAAGAAACAGATTTTAGATGAAAAGATCTACTGCCCTCCCGAAGCCTCCGTGCTGCTGGCGTCTTACGCCGTCCAGGCCAAGGTAGGCTCGAGGATGAGACGCGCGTTCTTCCTGGGCCCCAACTCATGGCAGAGGATGGCTCCTGTCTTCTGTGTCTTAAGAGTTTCTGAACTTCAGGGGAGGTTTACTCCAGAGAGTGGGATGTTATGGGACGTGGGGGAAATCACTGTCGCTATCCCGCAGCTTCTGTGTAATCTTTTTTGTGTGTACAAATAAGTGTATTGTTCTAATGAATTAGAATTCAGTCTAGGTGGATTCATTCCGAAAGATGACTTTTCTGTGTCATTTCATTATGCACACGAGGTTCATTACATCCCCTAGAACAAACTCCTTTTACTAACCAGGAGAAATGAATTTATGGTCTCCAGTTATGGCAACACAGGGCCACAGGGCCTGGGTCAGAAAGACCCAGCTTCTGACTCCAAACTCATCTTGTGGGAAACAGGTGCCCTGTGGGTGGGGACCATGCCATATCCACCCCCAACGGGCACTGCACGCGCTGGGGTCTGTTGAGCCCAGCCGAGCTGTCTGATTAGCAGAGAATCATTCTCTTTTGTTTAATCACTGCAGCCCAGGAGTAGTGGGAGCAGGCACACCATTGTTCTTGTGTTTTTGTCCCCTCTGTTTTTATACGACCAGTAGAGAGTCGGCCCACAGTGCTTTGTGTCCCTCAGATTTCCTACTTCAATCCCTAACCATCTCTCATGGTCCCCCTGCTTCCTGCTTTCACCAAAGCCTAAGAAGATGTCCTGGGATTGGGACACCTTGATTATTTGTGTGATTTTTAAAGCACTGTCTTTTCAGTTATTTTCCTTTTTTAATAACAGGTGTCCATGAAACCATTTCTGTTAGAGAAACTAATGAGATACTTGTCTTAGTGTCCTTTTTTTGGTAGCTTTGTACAATTTCAGATCAAAGCCAGGAAGTACTGGACCTATCAGTTAGGAGGAGGTGGGGAAGGCCGTGCATGCTGGGTGGACCTGTAGAAATTGAGCAGAATCGATGTAATCATCCAATGACTTGTCTAATATTTGCTGAGTATTCACCAGGGATTGTTGACGCTGTCATCAGTGCAATCGGTAATGCAACTGTCTGTCCTCAGCCATTGGCCCAAGTTCATCAGGGCCAGTCTTGGGCAAAGCCAAGGGCAGAATTCATGGTTTGGACGTTGCATTTTGTGCCTCTCCTATTCCGCTTCCCTAAAAATATGAGTAATTGAGAAAACAGAAAATGGGCCTTAATTCAACTAAGACATATGCTTCCTTTTATGCTTTGATCAAGAATATTAGTAAAAGGAAAAACGTGTCCTTCCAATCAGCATGGCCCTGACAGTGATGAAGCAGTCATTGTCACTTTCATTAAATCTGAGCACTTCCTGGCTCGGAGTCGAGTTCCTTTTTGTGCACTTCCTCCCCAGCCGAGAGGAGACCCAGGCTCTCAAGGACACCACCTCTCTTTGAATGATTTCAGTCGCAAAGGCTACATTTTCTTTGCGTAGAATTTGGGCCACAAATTCAAAGGCCACCTGTGGGGGAAAAAAATCACTTTTTCAGGGAACCGGCAGATGTTTGCTTAACCAGATTTCACTGTAGGAAAGCCCTATTAATTTGGATCCTACTAATTTAGAGATGAAAGTGATTCACAGACAGCATATGTGGTTCATATGGAAGAGGATGTTCTATTTTTTTCCCCAGTGTCAATTTTTAAGGATTTTACAAATAAAGGTAATCTATGGCTTAACGTCTGCATTCTGGGAACTACAGTTTACTATAACGTGTTTCCAGCTTCTGGAACGTCTGGTTAATATTAAAAGGGTATCTCTGAGTATAACATTAATGAGATCTTACGTGTCCGTAGTGTTCACGGTTTTACCAAGTGTTATAACATGAGTATTTCACACAGCACTCAGCATCGTATTTTCTGGAAGCCAGGACTTGAGAATGTTAGGCCTGTTTTGCAGATGAGGAATTTAAGGCTTATGGAGGATTAGTGATTTGTCCAAAGTCACGGTACTTTGATGTTAATTCTGTTTTTAGGGAATACACAGAGCCTACTTCTTGGTGGAGAGGACTTGCAGCAGAATAAAGAGAGCCTGGAGCTGGCGTGGGAGCCTGGGGTCCGGGCTGCCCGTGTCAGAGCTCTGCCCTTGCCTCTCACCAGAGGAGTCTGTTGGGAACAAGCACGGCCTTTCATTAAATTTCCGTTTCCTCTTTGGGGTCGCATTAGTCCAGGTTTTCAGTAAGACACACTGGCTTCTACCATCCTGTGCGGCTTGTTTTCTTCTACAACCTTTTGAAATAGAAAGAAACTTTAGAAGTATGGAGGGGAGAGCCAGTTGAGCTCATTAACACACGGAATGTAATTATGCACAAATGTATTCATTACAGTTTTCAGCTGTTCAAATGATATAGACACAGTTAATTCCGAAGCATAAAGAAACAATTACCCTCAAAGCATAAATACAAATATTAATCACATGGTTCAGTTAACAAGAACCATATTTCTTGGTTGGAGTTTGAGTTATGCTGGAATCAAAAGAATGGGCAGGAATTTTCTGTTTCTTTCTTTCTTTTTTTTTTTGTTCTAGTCACATGACACACCAAGCCATCTTGCAATGTTTAAGCCACCTGTTGGATTTTATATTGACAATTTGGCGTTTGCAACATGTTCTTATTAAAAATGACTTTGGGAGAAAATGGTATGTAATTTACGAATCACGCGGTGCCGCCTGCAAACTCCTAGTATCTGGAAGAGAGAAAAGAATGGGGGAGGGGAGGCTTAGTGTTGCTTAGTATTTTTTAATGCAGTCAGGGGCAGGGTGCCAAAATGCAGTTCAGTTAAGAAACTGAGTCCATGTGAAATAAAAGCATAGTGTGTGGAGAGTTGAGGTTGGAAAGATATGCAGGCTACCAGATTATAAAAGGTCTTAGCTTTATCCTGTGGTTGATGCAAAGCCAGTGAGTTTTTTATATTTCACTATTTTCTAAAAATTTTATTTTCATTTTATTTGAAAGGCAGAGAGACAGATGGAAAGAGGGATCTTCCATCCACTGGTGCACTTTCCAAATGCCCACAAAACCCAGGTCTAGGTCAGGTTGCAGCTGTCTCCCATTTGGGTGGCAGGGACCTAAGTACTTGGGCCAGCACCTGCTATCTCCCAGGGTGCACATTAGCAGGAAGCTGGATCAGTAGCAGAGTAGCCAGGATTCAGATTATCTGATATAGGATGCAGGCACCCCAGGCAGCTACTAGACTGCTGTGCCACATACCTGCCCGGTAGTTTATATCTTACACAGAACCGCTGGTAGCTGTTGAAGCACTGATTGGAATGAGACGAGTTTGAAAACAGTGAGACCATGAGAAGGTTGCCCTGGCTGTCCTTGTGAGAGACTATTAGGTTCATACCTTGGGTAGTGGCTGGTTGAATTAGAGGACACTGAGTTAAAAATACCCAAGAGGTAAAAGTTGACTAGTGCAATGCAGGGGCCAGTGTTGTGGCATAGCAGGTTAAGGGCCGGTGGTAGGGTCGGTGCTGTGGTGTAATAGGTTAAGCCTCCACCTGTGGCACACGGTGCAAGTCCTGGCTGCTCCACTTCTGATCCTGCTCTCTGCTGTGGCCTGGGAAAGCAGTGGAAGATGGCCCAAGTGCTTGGGCCCCTGCACCCATGTGGGAGACCGGAAGAAGCTCCTGGCTCCTGGCTTTGGATTGGCTCAGCTCTGGCCGTTGCAGCCATTTGGGGAGTGAACCAGCAGATGGAAGACCTCTCTCTGCAGCTCTGCCTCTCAAATAAACTAATTAATTAAAGGAAACAAAAACAGGCCACTTGGGAGAGTGCCAGTTTTAGTCCTGGCTGCTCTACTTCTGAACCAGCTTCCTGCTTATGCAGCTGAGAGGCAGCAGATGATGGTCCAAATACTTGGGTTTCTGCCACGTATGGGGGAGCCCTAAATGGAGTTCCTGGCTCTTGGCTTCAGCCTGGACTCTGTAGGCATTTGGGGAGTGAACTAGTGGATGTAAGGCTGTCTCTCCTTCTGTCACTCTATCTTTCAAATAAATAAAAACTTTTTTTGTGATTTATTTATTTATTTATTTGAAAGGTGGAGCTGCAGCAAGGTGGAGGCAGAGGCAGAGGGAGAGAAGTCTTCCATCCACGGGTTCACTCCCCAAAAGGCTACAACAGACAGGGCTGGACCAGACGGAAACCAGGAGCCAGGAGCTTCATCCAGGTCTCCTGCCACATGGGTACAGGAGCCCAAGTGCTTGGGCCATCTTCCACTGCTTTCCCAGGAACATTAGTAGGGAGCTAGGTGGGAAATGGAGCAGCTAGGACTTGAACCAGTGCACATATGGGATGCTGGCACTGCAGGCAGCGGCTTAACCTGCTACACCACAATGCTGGCCCCATAAATAAAGCTTTTTAAAAGAGTGGTGCTATGCTGTGCATATCCTTTTTTCTTTGTCTATCCTTTTACAAACTGGTATTTGTTTTTCCTACTCAGTATTGATTTTTGAGATGTTGTAATGTAGCTGTAGCTCATTGATTTTAGCTGCTGTATAGTAGCCATTGAAGAATAAGGATAGATTATTTTTCTGTCCCCCTTCTGAGGCAGAAGTAGGCTGTTTCCACTTTTTCCCTAGTATAAATTATGCTTTACTGAAAATGCTTTTACATGATTCCTTCTGTACAAGTGCAAAAAATTGTTTTTCCTTAAGGTAGATTTCTAGAAGTAGAATTGCATAGAATTGACTAAATGTGTCCGTAAATACCAAGAACTCTTTTTTATAAGAAAAAGAGAAACAGTAGAAAAATGAACACAAAGGATATGGATAGGCATTTTAAACAGGAGAAAACAGGAATGGACAGTAGATACAAAAAGATGTTCAATCTCACTAGTAATCAAGGAAAAGTAAGATGAAAGTAACAGATTAATTACTGAACCCATAAGGTCGGCAGGGCTCAGTAAAGTGGATGGCCACAGTTTTTGGTTCTTGCAGGAGGGACTGAATTTACACCCTCCCC